AACACACACACACACACACACACACACACACACCCCCCCTTTTTCTCAAAATGATGACTCGGTCACAGTCATTATACAATGTGACATATTTCGCTTAATATTTGGAGTACAACAACAATCCTGATATCATTAGAAAGCTAGGAATCTCCTCTTTTCAACAGTGTATACAACTCAAAATGTGTCTTCGGGTCAATGCGACTGATTTTGATGGAGCAGGTCCCATATGTGTGTGCCGACTTACACATACTTCACATTATGGCTGTCAAAACTTCAAATAAACAAACGTATTCCAATGTTTGCTTCTTTCTTTTCCATTTAAGATTTTCAAGTTGCTAAATTTTAAAATGGAATGAAATAAAAATATTAATATATACATTATAAAGTTGAAGTAAAATGTACAAATACATTTTAAAGAAAACAGAAGAAAAAATGAACAAAGAAAATAACTTAAAGTAAAAATGTCCACAAAGTGTTAAAATATGTAACCAAATTGCTCCTGTGGGGATTGTCCACAGTATTGAGTAAGTCGCTTTGGATAAAAGCATCAAACAAGTAACATGTACTGTAATTTTCGGACTATAAGGCGCACCTGAATATAAGCCGCAGCAGCTAAATTGAATGATGTGTACATATATAAGCCGCACTGGACTATAAGCCGCAGGTGTTTTAATGTTTAATTACCATATGTAAGGGTTCGTGCACAGAGGGGATTGTTGGGAAAGAGATGGCTGTTTGAGGAAGCTCCTATTTATTAACATTTCAACAAACAAGTTGCATATTTTCACAACGTATTCAAGTGTTAGCATTTAGTGTAATAGTAGCTACAGAACATGTACTGTGTAAACTGTACTGCATCACATAGCGTTTCAGACACACAAACTTTTCAACTTTCAAACTTAAACGGTGCGCTCCCAGCGCACGTACCGGCAGTGATCTACAGCAGCGGTTTTCAACCAGTGGTACGGGGACAAACTGTCTCGCTCTCGCAATGTCTGTCTGTCTTGCTCTCGTTCTGTCTCTCGTACCACTCTCGGTTCCACTTTTACTTTTGCGCGCTACCTGTCTCACTCTTTTCCGGCCTCCAGCTTTTCCTGCTGGAACCCGCCGCTTAAAGGTGGGGGTCCGCGGACCGGCCATAGAGCCCATAGAGTTAAAGGTGGTGGCCGTTAGCTGTAAAAATCCATAGATTAGCCGCACCGCTATATAAGCCGCAGCGTCGAAAAATGGGAAAAAAGTTACGGTAATGGTTAGCTTTTAGTTTACACACATTCAGACTGTGTGGCTGTGTGAGAAGAAGAGACCGCGTGTGTGTGTGTGTGTGTGTGTGTGTGTGTGTGTGTGTGTGTGTGTGTGTGTGTGTGTGTGTGTGTGTGACCTTGTCGTTGAAGATGCGCATGGTGTCCAGAGTGTGGAGGTTCTGCTCCATCAGGGCAGTGCCAGCAGAGTACAGGTTGACTTCATCCAGCTGCAGCACAGCTACCGCCACCCAGAACAGAGCTTTGTGCATGGGAGACTCCTACAAAACGCACACAGGGGGGTGTTGATTATTGATGTCTTGATATTTAATTTAGCCTAGCATGCTACACTTAAGATAGCTGAAACCTTTGTTCCACCTTACAGTGAATAATGAATGTGACATCTTCTTCTCTTCTAAGGCGGGGTGGGGTCATACAAACTAACCACGAACTCTGATGAAACGTTACAGAGGTGAAAACTTAAAAAGGAAACTGCTAAACATAGAGTCTGTGCTTCCGGTGGTGTCTTATTCGCTTTCATTTTCAAACTTTCATTAGTATTGAAAGAGAGTGGGGGCTCTGTACTGTGGCTGCAGGGGGGAGGGGGGGTATGCTGGGTCGTACCTTGCTGAGGAGAGGCTGCAGCTTGGTCAGAGCGATGACTGTGGCTTCTATTAATACTTGGCTGTTGTAATTGTCCGGCCCCTTCAGACAGCTCTCCAGACCCTGTGACGACGAGAGAATTTAAAGAAAAGAGGAGAGAGACGTAGAAAGTCATTTAAAAAAAAGTAATTTTGGTATTTATTCGTGATGATATCTATCTGCTAATACAAACTATTCCATCATATATTAAATCTTTACTTTTGGTATCTTACTTGTTTTCCCTCACAATAACTTCAATGTAAATGTACTTGATTTGTATTTTTAAGTTCCACAACAGTAAAAACACAAAATGTTTTTCCGAATAATATGCCCTAGAAAACCTTGGTTGAAAAGGGTTTATGAGTGGATTTGCGCTCTCACCCGGTCGATGCTGAGCAGAGGGCTGGCCTTGCTGAGGATCCGGATGATCTGCTTGATCTGGCCGTGGCTCACCCTCTTACTGATGCAGCCGAACACCACCAGCGCTCTGGGCTGGAGGGAGGGGTTGTACTGGAATGCGAACCTGGAATACAAAAACATGCATTTGTTGAACGCTGCACGACAGGCTTATTAGCATTGATGAAATCAAATGGAGGCGGTGCATACTTCTGTGCAAGCTCTGTCCACTGGTCTAACCACTTGCAGGCTGGGATGTCCCTCATACAAGCCTAGGACACAAACATAGAGTAAAAAGACTGAAAGACACTGAGAGATTAAGCAACACTTTGACTATATTATGAATCTGAATAAACAGTCTGAAAAAAACTTTCTTGGATCTTTAGCATTTCATTCATGGAATAAATGCATTTGTGGTGCAGTGGAGTGACAAACTACTGACCTCCATGATCTCCAGTAGGGCCTCTGTGACGGTCTCCAGGGAGGACAGGGCGAACGTCTCCCTCTCGTAGGAGCCTGGAGAGAAGGACCGGTCTCTGTAGCTGGAGCGGAAGGCAATGACGGCGGCGGACTTCACTTTGCTGATGCCGAACAGCAGGTAGAACTTGGGCAGGGAGAACTCGGTCAGGCTCAGCCTCAAAACCTGCTTCGTCTCCTCTGAAATCACCGAACACAACAACATAAGAGATTAGTTCTGCCTCGAGAAGTCCTAGCTTCTTTGCTCTGTGACACACTTTTCCCATGCACTGCAAGATTGTTTAACAAATCGTTTGTTTTTTTGAATGTTTGTCTTAAGTGTAAGTCTTTGTATTGTATCATCTTACAACTGATACACAAAAAGACATATTGAACATAAAGAAAAGGTTAATTGCTAGTAAATCAAACTTTACGATGCCATTATAATTCAAAATGTTAACTTAATATTAAAAGTAAAGTTTACTACCTATGTAAAAGTAGTTAAGAATTTGTTAAGATAAACAAATCATTTAAAATGAAATCAGGTCACAACATAGATTTTCATGAAACTGTATATGGTTAATAATTGGTTTGTAAAATCAATAAGAATTACGATTTACTAGTCTTTGGTAATCATAATGATAAGAATATAAATAGTTTGAATGTATGTATCAATAAGCTGTTAATAAAAACGTTAAGGATGTTTCAGAATGTAGCTGTTATTGTCCCATAAGATCGGATCTTTATTTTTCTCATCTCATCTGGACTGCTGTTGTAGCGCTGTGAATACCCGGCTGTGGGACAGATAAATGCTTTCTGATTCTGATTTATTATTGACGATCAGCGTAAAGCGTTATCCTTACTGCAACCTCAGGCTGCCGACCAAATCACTGAGCTAGTCCTCACCGCTGAAGTTGAGCTGCGAGCAGGTGCAGAGGGAGTGGATGATGTTGATGACCAAACCGTGGGTGGAGGCCCTCAGAGAAAGCGGCCCCGTGGCTACCAGCAGGGTCACCACGTGGAACAGGTAGGGCAGGTGGGCCGCCACATCCAGAGAGTTGTTGAAGGACAGCATGAGCATGTAGCGTGCCAGGATGGCGATGTCGTCCCACATCAGGTGCTGCTCCAGAGTGGGCGTCGGCGACAGGCACGTCTTGTCAATGATCTTACACATCCGACCAATCACCTGCCACGAAGAATAATTCCAACATTGGAACAATGCAGACAAACTTTCCATTTCAATTTCATAATAACAATGTCTGATGGGAAAAAGAGACATTACTCGCCCTAGTAGTTCCTTTATTTCAGGGGTCTTTGATTATTTTCAGTTTAAGAACACCTCAATTTAAAGAAAGACAGAGCAGGGACCCCCTTACTATAAATGTCTAAAACTGATTAATTTTGAACTTAAACATAACGTGTAGTGCCATGAATTAGCATACATTTTTATGGCGCATAAAAAACTAAGCTCTTAAAATAATGATACACAACCATAACCCCTAGTTAGCTAGACATACATACGACATAAAACTGCTCTTTGCCGATTGGCCAACGCTGCTAGGGATAGATGACTGATGCTAAGGATGCTCTGATCAAGGGACCAGATGTAGTCGTATCGATCCACAGAAATGGTCCGGTTAATTTAACATCGACAAAACACATGAATTTTCCGCCATCAGAAAACACAGTTTTTGAATATTATATTTCATATTTTTGGAGAGCACAAGACTATGGATTCATTACGGCTAAGCTTTCCTCAGTAAAGAAAATTAAAACACGATAACTTTTAATCAAAACAATCATGTTTTAATGAATATATTGTGTTAAATATGGATTTGTGGAGTAAGTAATCGTGTAATTCATAACCTAATCACCCTGTTAGGTTTCTTTCACTACAATGCAAACTTGAACTTGATTTCTTGATCAATGTACTACACTCAAAGCTAGGTAAGCCCACGGTTTACACTGTGCATGTATTTCTAGATATGGAGCGGATGCTTATGACAATATGGCTTTGGTTGCAACTAAATACGACATGGCATATATTCAACTCTTGGGTGACACAGAGTTCAAGAACAGCAGACAAGGCTTCATTGTGCTCAGTACGCTGTCCTGCCATGACATCAGACAGTAATCGTTAGTATCACACCAGCATAAAAAATGATGTATAATCCCTCAACGATCTACAATTTTCAATGTTGAAGTTCTTAAATTCAGCAACAAATCTTTGGTAAAACAACTCAAAAACACTAAGGAGAACTGCACTTTCACTTCAACACTGAGTGGCTTTTCTTCGTCATAACTCCTCACAATGGCCGCTATTCAGAGCAGGGCTGGAGTCTGCCATAATAGGAGCCGGGGCCTGCCTTTGCTATTGTGTCTGCTGCTGTATGTTGTTGTTTGGATCTAGAGCCCACAGCTGATGGATATTGAGTAAATGAGTTTGAATACTCCAAGTCAGGAGGGATTCACAGCATTGGACTCATTTCTTGCCTTAGTAAGTAAGTATTCTTTACATTGAATGCTGATTTCTAGCAACAGCGTCAACAGAAACTAAACCTCTAATAAGTGTTGAATTCATTCATCTTTGCATTCGGATATGATTTGTACAACCATGTCATGCTGTGATGCACCAGTTTTGGAACCTTTTTTGTTATTCAAGAAGTGTTATTCAAAATAATGTGACATCACAAAACATTTAATGTTACTAGTCAATGCCGTCTAAAATGTTGTGATGAACAATAATAGAGCAGATGAGAATAGTGGTATGTGTATGCATTGTTGGATGTTAAACTTAGACCCTGCAAGGTTGTCTGAAGATTTGTATAGTTTTTTTTATTTATTTTTTTTATTTTTTTTTTTAAATGGAGCATTCACATGCACTCTGAGATAAAAACAGGGGGAAAACATTTACTTTTATTAACTTAAGCTGCAGTGAGTGTCTTGCAAATAGTCAAATAAGATGTCACATACACTTTGGTTCCACTGTGCAATGCTTCTTTGCTATAGGAGTCCCATCCAGTTTAATATTGTAACTGTCACTTTTCTTCACTTTAACAATAATGTCAGTTAGTGTTTGGTTTTGTCGCTCCAAAAGTACATTGTGCCATGGACTATATGCAGCGGTTGTCTATTTTTCCAATTTTATGAAGCAACATCAGGATATTGTCACTCCCCTTAAAGCTTTTTGTGGGTGTTTAATCTTCACACTGAATTTCTTTATCTTCATTACCTTGTACTTTGGAGTAACATAACCTGGATCAGATTTCTTGCCTACATTTTGCATAATTATCACAAAGTTAAGGCCAGAGCTTGCTAGGTAAGATTTAACAGGTTGGTCGAACAGAATTGCTCATTATGAGCATCAGTCATTTTCTGTATCCACTGCTTACTGTGCTCTTTTCTTTAAAGTTCAGTGAAATTTGTGAAATATTGGCTGGGATAGTTCTAATATCAAAGTCTGGCCAACTTTATCATAAAAAACGAAATACTTCTGATTGGTGTCACACCCCCACTTTAGTGTTGAAACCTGGAGCACCCCAAGGCTCTGTGCTCAGCCCCCCCTGTTCCCACAGTACACCCATGACCAGACCCATCTTTGTTCTTTTTACAAACAAGGATGAGACTTCGCAGCCACAGTCACCCTACAAACACACTTCCCTGATCAGTTGCCTAAAAACCAAGCATGACCATGAAGATTGATCAGATTTTAGTAGAAGTTGACAATAACATGACGTGCTTTTTGAGGTATTGTTGCCTAAGAGGATGTTAAGGATCTTTAGACTTCAGTAAACAAATTCTATCTACGTGCTGGCCACAGGTAACTTTGCAGACAATATGACAGAAAGTGTTAGCTCACCTTGCTTGAGACCAATTTGACATTTCCTGAAGCGAGGGCCACTGCAGTATCAGCCATGACCTCTGCTTTGATGGAGCCTAGGCCTCCTGTGGCACTTGTTTTAATAAAGCTGTCCAACACCACATCCAGCAGGTCGGTTATCTAGAGACACAGTGAAAAGGTTAAATGCCAGGTCCTCAATACATTTTTCCTTATTAGACTGTAAGGGTTAGGGACTCACCTGGCCCAGGCTGCCCCATATTTTAGCCTGGATAGAGGGATACATCTGTTTCTCATTGATCGTCATGGTGATGAGTTTGTCCAAAATGGCGGTGACGCGCTGGCGCTTGGCGTCGTCATTGTGCTTACAGAAACGGACGAGGTTGAGCAGCCAGGGTGTCATGTACTCCAGGCAGAGATGCTTCAGCTCAATGCCTGCAACAGGACAACACTTATCAATACACTTTATTATTAACACATGGTACTCACTTTTCATGATAAAATGAACTTTAATCCAAATGAGGATGAGGCCTTAGGGAACACAATCTTAAAAGTCTTAATGCAGAAATGCGTTTTTCGGCAATTGGATGGAAACACATTTATATTACCCCAAAGTGCATGGGATTAGCATAAAATGGGCATACTGTATCTTTAAAGCGGAGGCTGGTGGGTACTTATGGAACCCATTTCATTCAGAAATCTTAAGCCCATGCCAGTTTTTCCATTGCCAAAATGTTACCTAACCTTTCATACTTTTGAGTCTCCTAACCAGGGGTTGCCCTAGACTTTTTCGCTGCCCGTCATTTTGACGGACAGGATCGTCAAATTTTCGTCAAAATCCCGTCAAAATCCAGTATTGCCCGTCGGCCTTTACACAACTCTGACGGGGGGGGGGGGGCACGCTCGTAAACTGTCAACGCTCGTGAACTGTCAACGCTCGTGAACTGTTAGCGCCGTTTTATGCATGCCCACTGCATCTCGCGGGTGCGCGCACAGCGTAAAGCCAAAACTCAGACATTTCAATGATTTGTACGGCAAAGTTAGGTTTGGAAAAGGTATAATTTGGCGGGCATGCATAACACCGGAGCCTCGCTGCGGGGGAAACTTTGGCGCTGTTCCGAGTTTGTTCTAATCTGTCAAAAATGTCTTTCCGTCATTGTTAAAAAATAGACGGAAAATATTCGGTTAACGCGACCTCTGCTCCTAACCATTAAATGGTCGGGACAGATGGATTTTGAATTTTTCTAGTTTAATATAACATCAATATTTTTATGCTAGTATTGAAAAAGTAAAAGTTCAGAAACCCATATGATCTCAAGATTGTTTTGATAATAGTCAAACAGTTAAGAGTTATACGGTGACCGGCTGTATGTCCTCCAGCAGCTGCTTTAGGTGGACCTACTTGACTTGCTGAAGCCTGAGATGCACTCCTCCAGAAACTCCAGCGTTAGATGGGGCTCATTGGCAGCCAGAGTCTTGCTGATGGAGACAATGAAGAGGGTGTTGTTGGCCGGGATGCAGAGGCCTGAGGTCTCCAGCAGCTGGCCCTCTATCTTTAGGTTGAATGTGCAGGTCAAAGCACATAGTAGATTGTAAGCCGCAGACCTGGATGAACAACAAGTCAGAGGTGTTAAACCTTTTTAAGAGAATTAATTTTTTTCTATAAAGCTGGTGAGGTAACTCCTCACAAAACTCTAGAATTACTCTGCATTGCTTGCAATACTAACCTGAGACTGGGGTCTGAACTGCCAAGGTTCAGAAGGGCGATGTTAAGCAGAGTACCAGGAACATCTTTTGGTCGAATCTTTGTGTGCTGTGGGATGGAGTCAGGCTGTGACAGCTCCCATCGTGTCCTAATGTGGATGATGGACTGGACGATGGCATCACATTCCTGGTGCATGAATGTGAGCGGCGTGCCCTGGTTGGCCATGGTGAGGGTGAACTGGCTCTCGTCCACCAGGCAAATCTCCTCAATCTCTGAGGCGTAGTAGACGTCGTTGAGGAAGACAGGCTGGCCGAGAACACGGGTCCGCTCGGCTGAGGTCACTTGAACTGCTGTCGAGCCAACCTGATCAGCAAGAAAACATATGTAGTTAAAGAAAACCCAATGCTCAAATTTCAACTGATTGTACAAACCAATTTTTTCAGTCTTACTGCTAGAAATATCCTCACCTTTATTGAGACCTTTGTGTCTTTATGGGCCAACTTGAGGGCATTATGGAACACTTTAAGGTCTTCCTCCAGGGTCAGCGTGGCCGCAGGCAGCTTCTGTTGGTCTGGTTCAATGTGCTCGGCCAGTTTAGCTGGAGAGTCGATGAACTGGAGCCGCTTGCTGCCCTTCAGGCCTGTCAGTAGCCGCTCATGGTACTTTGTGTACTCCCTTACCCAGGTGTTGCAGTTGTACACATAGACAGCTGCTACATTCTCATAGGCAAAGCCGGGAAAGACCACGAACCACTTGGACAGGAAGTCGGTCTTGAAACGATTGCTGGGTCCTACATGGGTCAAATCTACAACTATCTCGTAGGGTTTAGCGTAGTAGGGTTTGAGAGTGAGGAGGACATGGTAGATGAGCAGGTCCCCATTGATCTGGCCTGTTTTGAACCTAAAGCAAGGAGAATAAAAAAAACTCAGTCAAAACAGTTCAAGGTCAGGCATTTTGTAATAAATTATTATTAGTAAATATTTTTGGGGGAATGGTTATGTACACAAAAGCTTGCTTAAAATTGCTCTCACACAATAATTATACACCAATGAAACTTCATTTCAATTGTGTCTCTTCAGCATCTGTGAAAAGAACGAGGCACCAAAATAACCTGACCAGAAAAGAACCAGAGAGAGGGTCAGGAAGTGAGTTCAGAGCTTATCAAGAGTCTGTCAGCTGCTGCCGTCTCAAACCATCTCTCAACAAGACCTTCACATAAGACTACTCCAAGTAAGTATTGACGATACAATATCATATTTTTTAAATGATTTAAAACAATTATTTCTTGTCTGAATTCTTTGCTATGACATTATGTAAGAAGTAACAGTGATTCAGTCCCTTTGCATTCACCTTAAAACAGTAAGGCGCATATTGTGAATGTTGGGAAACATATCTTCTTTTAATTTCCCAGCACAATGGAAGGCACCAAAACCTCTCTCTGGCTGTTTCTACTGCTCAGCCAGCTGCTGCTCTGCCCTACCGATGCAAACCAAGACCTTTCAACCACGCAGCCAAATCTGCACGCAACAGAAAGCCAAGAAAGCAGCTTGACCACTTCTGTGGAGCCGAGCCTCGCTACCAATGGCCACACAAACCCACCTGAAATCGACATGAATGGCACCCGTGCCGACTGCCTGATCGACACAGAGATGGGTCTGATTGCTATAGGTTCAGCAGGGGGGCTGATTGTCTGCCTGCTAGTGGCTGTTGTGGTATTGGCATGCCAGGTCTACATCCTTCAGCGCCGACATTATGCCCCAAGACACTCCGGTGGTGCGGGCTACTGGGATGTTGTCCAGTCGGAGGATGGAGGACTTGTTGGGCCATGTGATTCCAGTATCATGCTCGAGGAGATAAAAGAAGAGGGCAAGATGGAGGAAGAGAGGCAGGCAAGCGAAGAGGCTGGGGCAGAACAAGTGGCTTTACTTCCTCAAGAGAATACCAGTCAGATGCAGAGCACCAGCTCCAGGTACTCCAGTCTGGAGGTTCCAAGGGATTTAGAGAACATGCCCCTTGTTGTGTGAGGAGGTAAACCCATGTTGGTAATCCCCAGGCCCACACTTCATTTAGACAAGCAGCAACCAGTCAGTTCAGCTCCGTTTATTTCTCCAGTTTATTTCCCTCACTTAACTTTACTTAAACCTCAGTAAAATGCAAGGCTTATAGAATACCAGGTTTATAGTACCCTTACTGGAAACGTTTTACTTTTAAATTACCATCAGGAAGATTACAATTCTGACAATACATTCAATATCAGTGTTGGGTAATTAGAAGTTTTACTCTAAAGTTTTAAAGACATTTGGTCAGTACGAAGTGATAGTAATGTGTATACATATGACGCTTCCATGGGAATCTTTTCAAAATGTCTATACCATTTTTAATTTTTAAGTCAAGTCAATTACCGTAATTCTCGGACTATAAGGCGCACCTGAATATAAGCCGCAGCAGCGGCATACCACTCTCGGTTCCACTTTTACTTTTGCGCGCTACCTGTCTCACTCTTTTCCGGCCTCCAGCTTTTCCTGCTGGAACCCACCGCTTAAAGGTGGGGGTCCGCGGACCGGCCATAGAGCCCATAGAGTTAAAGGTGTTGGCCGTTAGCTGTAAAAATCCATAGATTAGCCGCACCGTTATATAAGCCGCAGCGTCGAAAAATAGGGAAAAAGGCGCGGCTTATATATGTACACATCATTCAATTTAGCTGCTGCGGCTTATATTCAGGTGCGCCTTATATTCCGAAAATTACGGTAATTCGGTTGTCAACAATGTATGCCCTATACACTGTGGAGAAAAAGGACACGTCCCTCTTAGGAGGGTTTGTGTTTGGATAGAACTTCATATTTTCGTTGTACAGCATTGAGTTCGTCATTTTACTCATTGTAAATAACGTTGCTTGAAAAAAAAAAAAACACACTGTTTCTTAAGTAGAGTCAGATTCCTTTAGCACCCCCATGGTCTTTTCCTAAATCAATTCGCAATTATCCATATTTAGAGATTTAATGGCACTGAGGCTACAAGGACACACATGACTCAGAGAGAATTAGAACAGACAGAAACCATTGAGGTTAGATGCAGTCGGACAACAAAAAAGTCAATTTCTTCAACTATTATACAAAGCAGAATCACTACACCTCTGCAGTGTGTGTGTGTGTGTGTGTGTGTGTGTGTGTGTGTGTGTGTGTGTGTGTGTGTGTGTGTGTGTGTGTGTGTTACCTGCAGGTCCAACAGAATCCAGTCTGTGTGTGTTGCCTGGTTGTCCGGTCTCGTTCTGATAAACTGGAACAACTTCAGGAAAATACACGGGTCTAAAGAAAACAACAACAATCAAACACTGCTGCAGTTACATCATGTGGAGCAGACACATGTAATGAACATTTGAAGCAAAGTAAAAAACCTTTATAAACTTCAAAGAGAGGTTACAGAGCAGGAGCATGACATAAACTTGGAGTGAAGTCAATGCCATATCAATACTCTAGCAGTGTGTGGAGACTGACCGTGCTGAGAGCAGAGCTGCTGGGCCAGTGTGTGTTGGTCGGACATGGACGTGAGGACGGACACACCCCCCGACACTGTCTGCAACCCGCAGTCTGCTGACAAACACACACACACCACCTGCAACACACACTGCAACCTGAGAGAGAAACAGAGACACACATGTAAGAGTGTAAACTAATACATCATAAGTCAACACAGAGAGAGTTTTGGAGTCATTTCTGGAGTAAGAAATAAACAAGTGGCTCCTTTTTAATTCTGATCTCATGGTCAGACTGAATAATTAATATTGTATCAGTTAATTATATACTCCGTTACATCTTTACAGTCATTGTAAATCACTTTACGCTCAGATATTGCATCACGGACAGTTAGTGGAAACATTCATAAACCCCACACTCGCTGCTCGGGCACTCCTTTCTCCAGTAGTATTCCTCCAAGGTGTGTGTTGCATCATGTGTTTGTTTGTGTGTGCATGCGTGTGTGTTTGCAATGTAATTAGACGTTTGTCGAAAAAGAATGTGCGCTAAAGAGAGTTACCCAAGGCATGACGTTTCATGACACCTTCAATCAAGAGCTCACATATTGAAGACAAACACTCTGAACATCTGTCAAACTTGTTAATTCATCATCAAGTGACAACTCATTGCCCTGATACTGATCTTCATGAAGACTCTTATTCTTCTCAAGAATGTGATTCTTGCCAAGACCACAGTTAAGTTTAAAGAGAGTACATTTGTATTTTGTGCCATGCTTTAATGTTCAAAAAGCTCTTGATTTTTCTCATACACTGGTCAACCGACTAGAGATGTGTTACGTACAATGTGTTGGAGCGCTAGCCACGTAAGTGTTACATAGTGATTTCATTATGCTATGGATGTCAACAAACGAGTCCAATGGAGGCGTTTCAGGCAGGGGGGGGAATTGGGATGTTAGCCTTTCCATGCAGTAAATCCTATATAACAATACAGGAAAGGGAAATCCCCCCAAAAGCATAATAGGGCACCTTTATATTGACATCTTTATTTTTATTTGAGTTGCTCTGTGTTAGGGCTGGGCGGAAAAATAAATATATTTTTGCAATCAAAATGTTGGATTCCAACAAAACTAAAAAAATTAAACAGAAAACAAGCTATCAAGATTAAGCAATTATTGTGACGCACTCCATTTCGCAATGATGCTCGTGTTTTGTATTGAGTCATAAATGCAGCGCACCTCTTTCCACTACATCAGTACACTTTCACCCATGTCTGAAACCAAAAACTTCCACTGAGCCAGGCTGTGGCACGTCCGCTCAGTGTGCCAAGATGACGGAACGACAGACTGTGGTTCACAAGAAAAGTGAAAGCAATTGAGCTGTTTGTGTGTGTACCTGTCAGCATGTGTGTGTGGCGTCCTCTCAATAAGCACGCACAAAGTCTTCATGGCATTGAGGACAAGCTCCTCATTCTGCGAGACGCCTTCACTGCTTTGCCCGGCTTCACACAGGTGCAATAGGGACTGCAGCAAAGCATTCTGGGAGCACAAACCCACACTTGCAGTAGAGGGTTCAGTCTAAGAACAGATGGAGCAAAAATAAAATAGAATTAAATGTTTTTCTGTGAGGGAAAACAATCGCAGTTAATCATAATAACATAATGATCATCAGCCAAAAGTGAAAAGTGAAAGTGGAAACTGTGTGTGTCCATCAGTCTGTTTCAGATTGTACCTTTATGTCTGGAACTTTGCTCTGACTCTCCTTGGACAGCACAGCCTCCACCACCTGAAATGAAAAATAACTGTTGTCATCGATACTGCAAACGGGGAAAGACCTTTTCTACTGGGTCGGAAACAAAAGATGTGATTTCAATGTTGTTATTAAAAGTGTGTCTGCACGTTCATTACAGGTGTTGTTACTGTTGGGTCATCACCTTGTCACTGTGGGCCAGCAGCAGGTGGAGGAGCCTCAGAGCAGCCAAACCAGTGTCCTCCACGCTGAAACCAGTGGAACCAGCTTCCTCCAGTCTCCCCAGTCCAGCTGTAATGCCTGCAGGGAGCGAGCTGACAGCGGGGGTGGAGCGGAGCGAGTCCAGAGCCTGACAGAGCCGAGACAGGTGGAGGTCCAACAGAGGGAGGAGGAGCACAGCTCCAGGACACGACCTGCACGCACAAACACACAGAATATTTTAGATTAAACTAAAACATAGACGTTTTGATTGGATTCATGTTTCCCAAGTCACAATTAGTCTGCTTCACCGGATCTTAATGATTAACCATCGCACCTTTTCTAAAAAAAAATATTTTACAGTTTTTATGCGTAATCAAACATGTTTATAAAAATGCAAATACTGAAACTTTTTTAAATATCTTTTTCAATGGCGTTATAAAACTAATCAATTGGTTCATTTTCTTGTGTGGATTCTAAATCTTTGTTAATTATCTACATCAGGGGTTTTCAAAGTGTGGGAAGGTGAGCCTCTCCTCAGAGAACATAAGAACAGCCGCGCCCCCCCTCCCAATTATTATTGCTATTATTATTGCTGTTGTTGCTATAATGCAGGGGTATTCAATTGCATTTCAAAGAGGTCCAGTAAGAGAACATGTCATTAAATGCTCTGTTTTCGCTGTCTACCTTTCTCTTTTTTGAGCATGCCATTTGAAATGACTCACTGACTGCACCGATTTGATTGGCTGAGTAGCGTCACCTCCTTAAAACATAAAAAAATAAACTTTTTTAAACCTTTTTATCTTTTAAACATTTTCAACATCGTGGATGAATCCTAAATGCTCCCGGTAACACACTGAACGTCAACTTTGCCTCCTTATTACACTCACCCCTACTTTAGTGGGAACAATGAGTCTGCGTCTTTGAGGCGCACAGACGGATGATGCTATGTAGACAGGAATAAACGCAGATCATCCTCTGCCTGCAGCATCGACCGCTACTTGCTTTTGATCAAAGTCAATGCGGAAAACACGCACTCACACAGGTAGGTGGGGGCAGGGGCGGACTGGGACTAAAGACCTGCCCTGGAATCACACCCATCCCAGCCCACACAAATTGGTAGAGCACGCTCCTGAACAGTGTCTCGACTGAGTACTCTTGGGCTCAGGTTCTCAGACCTACTATTGCCCTGAGTTTTACTGACTCTGTGTCTGCCTTTGCTTTTTCTGGCCTGTCGTTACGTTCTCGTCTCGTTCTGTCTTATTGTCATTCTTTATCTGGCAGCCTGTTGATGTTCGTACGAGTATCTATGTTTTTGTACTTTTTGATGGTTAATGAGTGTATTACTTCTTTAGTGTTGTCTGTTCTATTTTGTCTATTTGTTTAATAGTACTCCTGTTGTCGTTGGTTGAGTCAATGATTCTCTGTGTTTGACCGTGTGTCTTGTGTGTATTTCTTTTATGGTTGTCCCTCCCTTTAGGTATATTCATCTGTGGATAAAATCAATAATACATTTTCTAGTGTCCTAAGTTCTATCTTCTCGGCGGAGGGACCCCTCCTGTGTCTTCGTTGTCCCTTCTTCCGCGCTGATATTGCCTTTTTCTAACTTATTTCACAGTGAAGCTGTTTTTCCGATCAGTTTTCAGAGTAAAGGAAGTGGAAGTGTGTGGTCCCCGCCAGACCGGTCAGACACCAAAGACCTCTTAGTGTCTTGCCGACAGCACGTCGCCCAGCAGTCAAATTATTGTAAATAAACAATACAAAAATTGCCGTAGTTAAATTCAACGCGTACTGACCGCTGTCTCCAGACAAGTCGACTCCGAAGGGGGCGTGGGCAACTGCAACAGTGCTCGTGGCCCGGGGGGGGGGACAACTGTCAAGGGCTCGTGGGGGGGGGG